ATAGTAAAACTATAATAAATATTAAAAAATTTTATTTGATCCACTTGCATTTAAAAGTTATTTACTGCAGCAAATATGATTATTTCGATCAGGACTTTCGCATTATTGCTTAAAGCCTTGATAAGCTAATTTGTTGTTTTATTTTTTAAAATTGATTTCAATGTGTATTGATGATAAAAATTTTTTGGCTGACACAGTTTTTTTTTAGGTGATTTTTTTAACTGATATTGTATACAGTTAAAATCTCCTTAAAAATTGTAATACAAAAATGAAAGAAAATTAGTTGCAAATTTATTAAAGAATCTGCTGTTAGAATTGAGAATATAAGATCAGAGATTCTGAGATATCGTATTTATCTAAGTAAGATTCTATATTACATATGTGCATACGTATGTGTATATTAATTTGCACAACACATATTATATATAGATACGGTGCATATATGGTTCGCAAACTTCAGATCAAAAAGTTACCTATCTTGTATATTTTTTGTTTTTTTTTTTTTGCTTTTTGTACTCTTTGCGTTGAATCGTTGAATGCACACTTCCTGCAACACGACATCAGCCGCTCATACATTTTTTATTATTGCCCACCGAGTTGTTTCCTTGGATTACCAGAGGAAGTAAGATCTACATGCGAAGACAGCGTTTCTTCTCTCCGGCGGACGTTGAATAGCGATTCTAAAACGGTCACTGAATGCCTGAATGAGAACTCGTTATCGAAGCCGGAGGCTGTTCGCATAGGCGACGCCCAATGGATAACTTCACGAAAGTGTTAGAATGTCTGGCGTTCGCATTTAATTCGTCCATGGACGTGAATTTTAAACAGGAAATTTCAGCGAAATTAACAGGTTATTTTTGATTATTAATAGTGACTATAATTTCTCGTATTTGTACATCCGTATTTTTCCTCACGTAGATCAATCTACGTAAAAAATTAATGGGTTTTGGAAAGGCGTTGCGGAAAAAAGCTATTTAAAGTGTAATAGTAGGGGAAGGAAATGAAGTATAAAAGTTTATACTGAATATTCCTTAGAAAAGCCACTATAGAACTCAGGTGTCTGATTTCCCACTTAACTTTAGAAGGCTAAAAGCGCATTATTAGCTTGAGCTTTAAACATTCGAGCATTAGTAGTCTGAGCTTTAAATGCGATTCATTATTCGTTCATCAATGTAATCTTTTATTAAGCGTCGCTAATATTAATTTAATGAGTTTAGCGATGAATGACGCTATTACTTTGCGTTCGGTTTTGTTTGAATCAGCTTAAATCCGGATGTAATATTCTACAGAATTAGCGCGAGACCTTCATATCGTGGATTCTTACTTCAATTAAATATTCCGAAATGTATACGAAACGCAAATGTTCTACGATCGGTACAAGTATTTTGTTAACTGTGTCAATAATTAATATGGTTTACAGTCACGGCAAGCTGCGACAATGAGGTACAGAATAATCTGACCTACGTGACCAGTCCTGGTTTTCCCAACCTCATCGACCGGCCTATGAACTGCTCAGTGCTTATACGGAAGATCGATACGGAGGTCAGCCAGTTGAGGATCGACTTCGTCCATTTCAACATTGTAAGTCTCAGGAATGTCTTATTATTATAGTGTTATCTACTAGGAATAGGCTAGTTGCAACTATCGATTCCCCGGAGTACTATTTAGTACATCTAATATTCCACGAGTTGTCAAGATAATGTCGATATTAACACGTGCGAAGACATAATTTTTTTTTCAAACAACTACGTCAACATTTATAGATACTGTTCAATATTAATAGTATTTGTGAAAATCTTCGTCAGTGTCCCAGACGGCACAATGTTTAAAATTAGAACATAAGGCATCTTTAAGACATCTTATATCCCGATTTTGAACATTATGCTACCTGGGTAGATATTACAATTAATTTTATTATAAATAAATTTGGAGAAAGAATGAGTAAACGAGGAGAAAGAAAGAAGGGAAAAAAGGAAAAGAGGAAAAGGCAAAATACATAAGAATAAAGTAATCATGAAGAAAAATTGCGTATTCTTATATTACACAATTCCAGGTGACAAGCTAATGTTATTTATCTACTAGCGTCATTTTTGACGCTAGTAGATGTCATTTTTACATAAATGGCGACAAGTGATAGCATATTTGGAATATTTCGCATTTAACATAAATAAAACATACATAATTCGTTTGAATTAGCGATGTATATATGGAGTAAAAGCAGAAAAGATATATGGAAAGAAAATTAAATTAAACAATGATTTTGTTAAAGCATCTAAAAATTTAGCTTTAGATGTAGAGTTAAAAATATAATTTTGTCACACCATCAAAATTATGCGCTCAAGAGAATTGCTAGAATGTCAAAACTTTTTGCAACATTGTTTATTATGAGAGTTCTACATAATTATTTTGCAAAATAATAAAAAAAATAGGTTCACACACACACACACACACACACACACACACACACACACACACACACATACATACACACACAAAACTAGATTAAATTTATCATTGTGTGTCTACCGCTCGAACCATCAGTATCTCTGTGAGAAGTCTCGTTTTTCTATTTGTTATTCGGAAAATTTAATAATAATATGGTTGCTTGTGCACAATTTGTTTGACTTCATCAATCGACAATTTGATGACCATTTGACTAATTTATGACATCCAATAGATTGACTCGTATTAGAGCATTCCCTTTTTAATGGAGTTTTTCCGAATAATTTGCAATTTTAATTTTGTTTGTGTTTTAAGTTTATATACTGAAGAGGATTCGAAAGTTGAAAAAACCGAAAGTTGAAAAAACATATATGTATATTCACTTTTCTAATAAATGGTTTTGTTAATTTACACTCGAACATCCTGTGTTGACTCACATCGGCATTATTTGTCGTGATATATTCTTTTTTATTTTATGATAATTATTTTGATAGTTCAACAAAATTATTTTCAGATTTGAATTTAGTTAAATTTTTAGATACGATTTTCAGACAAATCGTTCTTTTCGTGTACGTAATATGTGTAGAGGTAAAACTTGTTTTAGGGTCAGCCAAACGCCTTGACTGGCGTGTGCGACGGAGATGTCATGGTAATTAATAGTAACAGGACATCTTTCGAACTATGCGGATGGAACAGCGGGCAACACGGTGAGTACTGCTTGTACAATTTCTTACACCATCTTTATAATTGCAGCTTTTGTAGTATCACGAATCTAATAGTGCTAAAATTCGATTTCTCTGGACGCGCGGAACATCACGCGCACGTATACGTTTTTCGAGCAATTTAAATAGCACAGACTGCTTTATATCTCGACACAGTGTACGTGGACGTGGGCGAAGGCAACGAACCAATCACTTTAAACTTCCGACTGCCAAGCGGATTGCAATCACGAATGTGGGAGATGCGAGTGGTGCAGCTGGGTTTCGAGCAACGTGCACCAGTCGGATGTCTCCAATACTTTTACTCGCCCAATGGCACACTAAGGACATTTAATTATCTCCCGAACGGCAGATATCTCGCCGAACGCGATTACCTATTATGTGTACGTCAGGAAAGGGACATGTGCGGTATCTCTTATCAACCTTGCACGCGAGACTCTTTTCGGATAGGTCCTAATAGATATCAAGATATGTCCAATACGACCAATAACACAATTCCCGCAATGATCGCTGCAAACAGCGGAAATGCTTCTACAGCTGTCAATCCAAACGTCACTTCTGTAAACGGTTCCGGTATGGACATTGTCGAGGGATCGGGAGCAGGATTATCTGAACAGGAAATGGCTTTTATCTCCAATATGAATTCGGTACCTTTTTTTGGAAGACGGTGCAGAGACAGAATACTTATTCCTTGCGATTTCGAGGAATTTATTACAGTACGTTATATTTAATAAATATCTTTTTTATTATATAGAACGTATGTTTAAAATTGAAACATAAAATATTTGATGTTCCAATTTTAAATATGTGCTGTCTAAGTAATTATTATGTAAAAAAGTCTAGTAATACCTAGTAATGTATATGTATTGTATTTACAAATGTCAACTTGTATTATTTCCAATTTATTATTCCAAAATTTCAATTTGGATTTATATGATAATTTGGAAACTGCAATTTTAGTATAGATAGATTAACCCTTAATATACACGATTAATGTTCTGCATATTCCTTCTCTTTGAAATACGAGAACATTTCACTAAATAATGGTCTTCATTTTTTTCTTTTCTTTTTTTAATAACACAACTTTATGAATATTTTTTAAAGACGTTAAAGTATGTAAGAATTATTTAATAATTTTTGTATTCTTATAAAAGTGATGAAAATCAAGTCGAGTCACGAACAACCCATCGTATTTAGTAAAGGATCAGAATATCATCGTGTGTACGAAGATTTAATTACAGTAATTTTGGCGCACTTTGTAAGAAAACGGAAGCGATATCTCGTTTATTAGTTCAGCTGTGCAAATGTCTGTTTTAGCCGGGAAACAACATGGCAGGTATCTGTAATTTGGAGCGTTGCGGCAGTTCACTGTGCGACCAAAACGAACTCGACACAGAAGGCAATTGCCGAGTTGAGACTTGGACTACTCCCTTTCGTATAAGGGTAGCATTTGGTCCGGGTATCAATATGGACGGCACATTGGAAGACAATGCCGGCATGTGCCTCACGTACCAACAGTTAGCTTGTGTAGCTTGAGCGTTATAATTATCTCACTCTTCGCAAGGCGCATAAAGCGCAAAGCAGAACGCTGAACGACATATAAATGCGGAGACAACTGTCGAACAGAAGAAGGAAGCGTCATCGACTGCATCTGTACTGTCTGCAACACTGTTTCTGTAGCATTGTCAAGCGACGTCGTTGTCGCTTTCGCAGCGTAAATATAGGAAATATTTTCGAACGGAATAAGGAAGATTTCGCTTGCGAGGAATTTCATTCGGCTTAGACGCGAGATTACGGAACGAGAATTATGGGATTGAGGTTGAAGCATTGTGCTGTATAATTAATACCGCAAAAAAAGTCAAAGAGTCAAATAGTTTTTATTTACAAATGAACTAGCTTAAATCGTAAACGCAGCGCACAACTCTCGATATAGTGATATATGTATATATGTGTGTGTGTGTGTGTATATATATATATACATATGTATATA